CTCAGAGGGGTATAATACCATAGCGTCTGCCCACCAAGGCAGCCATTTTCTCCAAGGGTGCTGTTCTCTGTATTCTGGAAATCAATTCTAATGCCAGAAGATCTCCAGGCCCCGCCTGGAGACTAGCAACCACAGTACTGCATCTTTGTGGAAACATTGAAATAGTGAGAGAAAGATCACTTTCCCCCTGTTCCGCAGTGGGCTTAGGCCTCCTCCTGTGGTGCTCCTGCCATTCTGGTGCAGCGTCCAAGAACGGCTTGCCTTTCATTCCATGTGAAATGGGAAACCAGTCTCTAATCCACTACAATGAAGAAAGCCAACAAGTGCTGTCTCAGGTGAGCAACAAGACCACCATGCTTCCTAGTTACTTGGAGCAGTGAGAAGTTCGAAGGTCACCAGGCTTCCATTCTTTTGAGCCTTGCAGTGCTTTCGTAATGTTGGTTTCATTGATGAGTACAGAAGCAGGCCGTGGGTAAAGCAAGAGCCCACCAGGGGCTCAGAAGGCAGCAGGTGAAGCCACCTTAGCAGCCCTTTCAAGGTTGCACTCTTGGTTTTCAGCTATTTCCAGCTGTCACTCTTTCGATCGCTTTCTTTATTCTATCCTTCCTCCAAGAATGTCATGGAATGCCTTACAGTATTACTGTAGGCAAAACCATAGTGATAGACTCATTGGCAGTTATTAGACTATCAAGCTGATTCTATCCACATGTAGCCAGGAGTGCATACCTTGCTTCTTACATGAGGTCCAGGCTGTAGGTCTTCAGATTTTGAAGTAAGTAAGAAACATCACATACATTTTGCCATCAAGTCGCAACTACCTTATGGTGACCCCGTAGGGCAGGGGTGTCAAACATGCGGCCCGGGGGCCGGATCCGGCCCCTGGAGGGCGTCTGTCAGGCCCGCAGTGGAACTGGCTATCTCCTGCTTCTTCTTCCAGTTCTGCTGCTGCTGCATCATTGTAGGTTTGCAGCTTACAGATACACACCTGAACAGCATACCCAAGCTTGCAACAGCACAGACATTTTGATGTAATAATTCAGAGCAAGAGTTGTCAGTTATCAGACACTGTTAAATAAAAAAAACTATTGCAAGAGTGATAATGTTTCAAGCATGTTTTTATTTTAAGTTAAAAAACCCCTTTGTGTTTGTGTCCTTTATAAAGTTTATATCTCCACTACCTGGCATTACATTTTATGACACACGTGGCCTGGCCCAACAAGGTCTCATTTATATCAGATCCGGCCCTCATAACAAATGAGTTCGACACCCCTGACATAGGGTTTTCAAGGCAAGAGACGTTCAGGAGTGCTTTGCCATTGCTGCTTCTGTGTAGAGACCCTGGTGTTCTTGGAGGTCTCCCATCCAAATACTGACCAGGGCTGACCTTGCTTAGGTTCTGAGATCTGATGAGATCAGGCTTTCCTGGGCTATCCAGATCACGGCTAGTCATTCAATAGCTAGTACATTTCACCAATGGCTGAAGACTTGAGTGACTCAACAGATTCACTTAACTCTTACTTACAAAAGACCTTTTAAACCTGTACATGCACTGGCAGCATTGAGCCTCTGCTAACGTTACTTAGTATATGTATTCACCATTTTTCTCCCTGAAGGGGCCCAAGGCAGCTTACAAAATTAATAAACAGAGTAGGGAAAAGATATGCAATTTAAATAGTTGGGCATATCTTGAATCCAGATCATTCAAGAGCATGAACTGCAGGTGAAGAGTCAGGAGCCCTTTGGCTCATGCCTTTGGTCATGCCCATAGGGATGGCAGCTCTGGGTTGGGAAATACCTGGAGATTTTGGGGGGTGGAGCCTGGGGAGGGTGGGGTTTGGGGAGGAGTACAATGCAGGGTATAAATGCCACAGAGTCCACCCTCCAAAGCAGCCATTTTCTCCAGTGGAACCAATCCCTATTGTCTGTAGATTGGTTATAATAGCAGAAGATATCCAGGCCTCACCTGGAGGCTATACAAACATGAGATCACGGGATAGGCTGTAAGTAAACCAAAAAACAGCTGTGATATTGTTATGCAATCTATTTAATAATTATTTTCAAGCATTGGTACAATGTTTCTGGTCGAATGCTAGAGCGTCGCCTCGGCGATGTGCCTAGCGTGATGACGTCACTTCTGGGTGATGTCATCATGGTGTGCATTCCAGAAGATCCCAAAGAGGAGCCAAGAGTCCCCCACCAACAGAAGGTAGGGACCTGGCAGCCCTAGAGGCACTTTCAGTCTAAGGGAGTAGTTCAGGCTTGGGAGCGGCTGAGCTGCAAGAACAAGGCAGGAAGTTCCATGACATCACAGTCACGTGACCAGATGAAGAGGGGCCAGGGTCACGGAACCAGCCTGTGATAAAAGGGAATCTGTTCCACCATCCTTCTGCTCTTCTCAGCTTGCTTGCAGAAAGAAAAGAGCACTGCAGTCACATGAAGCTGCCTTATATGAATCATACCCTTGGTTCATCAAAGTCAATGTTGTCTACTTAGACTGGCAATGGCTCTCCAGGGTCTCAGGCAGAGGTCTTTCACATCACCTCCTACCTGATGCTTTCAACTGGAGATGCCGGGGATTGAACCTGGGACCTTCTGCATCCCAAGCAGATGCTTTACTACTGAGCTACAGCCTCAGTCTTTACTCTCTACAAACAAAAATGCAGTTTAGGGGTTCCTGACCTACCAGGTGGGATTGAAGATTACATATCTAAATTATTATTTCACTAACCAATGCAGCTCTCATTAAAACTTTTCACCTCTTTTTCCCCGTCCAGGACATGCCTGATGTTAAGGATCATATTTCACCATCTGCTGTGTATGCAGAAATTCGCAAGGATAAGCCCCGAACTCTTAAGGTAACCACAGTACTTCTAAACAGAACACTGTTTTCCTTGCCGTCAGAAATGTTCTATGTCATCCTGGTATCATCTGTTGAGAACTCCTCCTTCACAAGTCTCAATGAAATGAATACAAGTCTGACACAGGTCCACACTGATGGCATGAGGTCTGTAAAAGAGAAGAGAAGTTCCCAGTTGATTGTTCTATTATTCCTGCCCTGCAGCCATCTCTTATTGGGCTTACAGGGAGGTTCATGTTGTCTTACCTTGTCACTGTTACCCTCTCTTCTTGTTTGGTGTAGTGGTTAAGTGTGCGGACTCTAATATAGGAGAACTGGGTTTGATTCCCCACTCCTCCACATGCAGCTGCTGGCGTGACCTTGGGTCAGTCACAGGTTCTCTCAGAGCTGTTCTCTCAAGAGCAGTTCTCAAAAGAGCTCTCTCAGCCCCATCTACCTCATGAGGTGTCTGTTGTGGGGAGGGGAAGGGAAAGGAGTTTGTAAGCCGCTCTAAGACTCCGAGTGAAGGGCGGGGTATAAATCCAATCTCTTCTTCTTCTACATTGTCCCATTTGGGAACAATCCAACTTAGAATAATGATTAAGCAGTCTCTATTGTCGACTCTTTTTTCATTGCAGAGATTTTGCAGTTAAAGTAGAAAATGCCCTTTTCAAACTTCATCAGGATTAATTTTTTTCTTGATTTGTTCGGAACCCATTGTCCTAAAATAAATTTTGATGGGGAAATCGCCCTCATGAACTGGCAGCAGGCTGCTCTCCACCCTTCCAAACTCTGAAAAATGTAAGGTGAAGGCTCCTGCCAGTTCATAAGGGTGATTTTCCCATCAAAGTTTGTTTTAGGACAACGGGTTCCAAACAAATCAAGAAATAGTTTAATTCTGATGAAGTTTTGAAAAAGCCATTTTCTACTCTAACTGCAAAATCTCTGCAATGAAAAAAAGAGTTGACAATAGAGACAGCTTAATCATTATTCTAAGTTGGATTGTTCCCAGCCTTATTATATTTTCAAAGTTAGGTTTATTTTGTACATTTTGTAAATTTTTATTAAGAGATTGTTCAGCAGTTGATTGTGTAAAATGAAATGGCCTTCATTCCGGAGAGGCCCGTCACATTCACATCCTGACGGATTTCCATCTGAGCAATATAACCAAAGGGCACAGCAATCAAATATGTCAGTTTACAAAACAATTGCTGCAGCTGTTCACATATTCACAAAACAAGAATAATTATATGTTGGTATTTCTTTCTTTAATCCAAGGTTTCCTTTTCAACAGGTCAAAACATCAAGTCACTGAAGTGCTTTACGAACTTCCTCGAGTTTCAGTGTTCGTTTCGAGGGATATCTTTATCAAAATTCTGTTGTGTTGTTATTCTTTCACAAAGCAATCCAATAAAGTGGTTGACAATTTCAAAATGGCTATGGGTAGCTCCCAAGTTAACAAATGGTTCCTTTGTTGTCCGTTGAAAAGGAACCATTTGTTAACTCGGGATTTCCATCTGAGACATACAGGTTGCCATCTACTTTAACTGCAAAATCTCTGCCTTGAAAAAAAAAGAGTAAGATTACAACCGATTTCGAGGAGACGGAGATCAGTTCACCCGGAGAAAATGGCTGCTTTGGAAAGTGGACTCTATGGAATGATACCCCATTGAAAGTCCCTCCCCTCTCCAAACCCCGCCCTCCCCAGGCTCCGCCCCCCAAATCTCGAGGTGTTTCCCAATTCAGAGCCGGCAGCCCTACCCATTCCAGTGATTCCCTGCCTTTGTATTTTTAGTGGGGGACTAGCTCAAAGGCCAGGGTTTCCCAGGGGCTGGAGAACTTGACATGGATCTGGAAGTCTTATGTTCAAGCACTCTCTCTGCCTTGGCCTTGTGTGTTTTGGAGCTAGCTGTGTTCTCTTTACAGTTCCCATGTGTAAGCGACATGAATTCAGCTTGGAGTTCGCATTTGTTGGCTAATGAGCGCTGTGTACACAAAACATGAGAACACACAGTTTGCCTCAGCAAACAAAGGAAGTCAGTCAAAGGAACTGCTCGTTGCTTGAAGCAGGAAACCCTCACATTTTCCCGACATTAAATTCCTTTTAAGCATTTTTACTTTATGTAGAGGAGGAGGAGGAGGAGGAGGAGATTGGATTTATACCCCGCCCTTCACTTGATGGGGAATCAAACCCGGTTCTCCCAGATTAGAATCCGTGCACTTAACCACTACACCAAACTGGCTTTTTTACAATGCAATCCTAAACAGACTTATACCCTTCAAAGCTACTGACGTAATGGACTCAGAAGTGTGTAACTCACTTTGGGATGGCACTGTTAGATGACTGTTTGCTTCTTGCGTGACTGTTTGCTTCTTGTGTGGCTGCCTGCCATCATGTCAATGAACCAAAAAACCCTTTTTTTTTTTTAAAAGGAGGTAACTAGAACGGCCACCTCACATTCCCGGACATCCAGTCAAGTGCACTTTGAGGAAACTCTCTCTGTGAGTAAAGATCTATACTATCTATTGAGCCTTTGTCTGTGC